TGATTATTCATGTTGCTCTTAACACTTTCTTGAGATGGTCTCATGGGGTGTTGAGATCACTTCTTAGCTTCTCATGTTCCTCGTGTTTATTTGAGGATGACGAGTGAAGCATTCAGGCTTTCAGGTGATGGCATATATGTGATTAATAAAACTTGGCCTTTACTCCAGCGGGGGAAATTACGTGCAGCTTTTGGAGATGTGCTGACTATTCTTGGTTTTCCGTGGAAGGAGTTTTTTCTTGAGGGCTTCACGTATGCTTCCCTAGCAGTAGATAGGGAGCTAGAGTTGATTGCCAACTCCATTTCTAAATTTAAACTTTTAATTTAAACACGGTATTAGGACTTCCCTTGGAAAGGTCATTTGTGAAAGTGGAGCTTTTGGTCACTCAGTAAGTAGTCCCGTGTCACTTGCTTCATGTGGACAATGCGGTGTGCTCATCCTCAGAAAATTGCATCATCTCCAGGGGCCCATCAGTTACGCAAGGCTGGGGATATTTGATGTTAGAGACCAGAGAACTTGGTACAGCTGGCCTCTCCCCTTCTTTAGGACTAGTTCTTGTGAACTGTCTGTCTTCCAGTTTCTTGGAAATGTTAGTGTATGTTTAGCATCCTCAGATCTGCCTTTTTTTGCAAAGGAAAACAAAAACCAAGGTCATTATCTCATTGATTTTGGCAAAAGAAGCCAGCGAGGAAATGAAATTGTTGGTGAATCTTGACTGTTTGGATTTTTAGTAGACTCAGCGGGAGTAAAATTAATTTATTCATTCGTATATTTGCATTCATTAGCTTGGAAATGCTGTGTGGAGTTAGAAAGGCTTGGTTTTAAGTGTAACGTAGGAACTAAAGAACCCTGGTGGTGCAGTGGTTAAGCGCGCAGCTGCTAGCCGAAATGTCAGCAGTTCGAAGCCACCAGCTGCTCTGTGGGAGAAAGATGTGGCAGTCTGCTACTGTAAAGATTACAGCCTTGGAAACCCTATAGGGCAGTTCTACTCTGTCCTATCGGGTCACTGTGTGTCAGAATCCACTCGATGGCAATGGGAATGTGGGAACTTAACTGGGCACCATGAGTAGGCTTCAGGGGTCAAAACTCCCCTGAAATTTTACATAAATTCTGCATGCGCATTTTTCTGGAAGAGGGCTCATAGCTTTTGTCTGGTTTCCAAAGGCAACCATGCCCCAAAGGTGGAAGGAGCTTTCTGAGATGATGCTTAGAACACTTCCCAGCCGCTGGGACCCAAACCTTTCCTCATGCCTCAGTCCCCTGATTGGAGTGCCACTGTACGTGAGAAGTGCCTCTTAGATATTTCAGCTGACCCCTTAGAGTGGAAGTGGGTGCTGTGGGCTGTTCATAGGCAGAAAGAAGTGAGCCGAAGACAAAGGAGAAACACTGTAGACTTTATGGTAAGCACTGAAATGATGAAGGATTAACCACATTTTATTTTAGAAAAAAATGAACCCTTCACAAATGCTGGTTGATTCTCATCACCATGGGGAACGGAGTTAAGAACATCAATTCTGGAGCCAGATTTACTGGTTCAAATCCCAGTTCTGCCATTTAGTGGTTGTGTGTCCTTCAGCAAATTATATAATTTCTTTGTGCCTCAAGTGTCCTCATCTATAAAATGGGGATAATATAATATTTACTTCATAAGGTTATTGTAAGGATTAAATGGGATAATATAAAGTCTTATGATTGCGTGTAGTACATAGTAAGAAAACCCAGTTGCCGTAGAGTTGATTCTGACTCATGGCAACCCCTGTGTGTGTCAGAGTAGCTCCACAGAGTTTTCAATGGCTGATTTGTCAGAAGTCGATCACCAGGCCTTTCTTCCAAGGCACCTCTGGTGGACTCAAACTTCCAACATTTTGGTTAGCAGTCAGGCTGATTAACAATTTACACCACTCAGGAACATCAGTACATGGTAAGAGCCTAATAAATCCTAGCTATTATAATGCAGCAAGGTGGTTGTTCTTAGTAATGTAGGAGTAGTAAGAGTGGAGGAGTTCTTGGGTGGCACAAATGGTTGAGAGCTTGACTACTATCCAAAAGATCAGTGGTTCGAACCCACGTAGAGGAGCCTGGCAATCTGCTTCTGAAAGGTCAGCCTTGAAAACCCTATGGAGCAGTTCCGCTGTGCACACATGGGGTTGCTGTCAGAATTGACTCAATGGCAACAACAACAGCAAGGTACAGACATTTCGATTTTTGTGTGTATATGTTAGTTGTTTTGCATGTTCCTACAAAAGGCATCTGTCTTAGGCATTTGCCTGCTTACAAGCTGTTTCAAGTAACTTTTGGTGCATAAACATCATAAAAGGTGAAAGGATACTGTCACATCCTCTTAGCAAAGTAACATGGTCCATATCTTGTCATACAATATTGCATGCTGAAATTCTTCCTGATAATTGATTATCTTTTAAACGATTAATTGGATGAGAATACCATATTTCCTTTTTGTCTTTAGAAATGTATTGTTCAATCTTTGATCCTTAATTTCATCCAGGATGTGCTGATATAATGAAGACTCATGAAGTCTGAGATTTCACTTATATGATCAATTTCAATCAGACTCTAAAGAGCTACTGCCTGCGTCTTGGCATTAATCTTTTGACTCATCTAATAATTGTGAAATATCTTTTTCTGTCAGTTTTCTTCTTTTTTTTGCCATTATGGGTAGAAAATGAAAAATTACATGAATTCTCAACTGTGTTCTGTGAAAGCTAAAAAATGACTGCAAAGATGGTATCTTCAGACTTCTTGTATTCCTTCCTGAAAAATGATGCAGTCCTTTGGGCAATGCAATGAGGAAACTGAAGGATGATGTTGTAATGATGATTTATTTCACTATTGTACCATCTTAAATGATCCCATCATTTTCAAGCTTTCTTTTTTATCATAGGTAGGAGTAATTGATGGGTAATGATGAAATTGGGTCCCTGGGCGGCACAAATGGTTTGCACTTGACCACTAACCTAAAGGTTAGTGGTTCAGATCTACCCAGCAGTGCCATGGGAAGAAAGGCCTGGCGATCTGCTTCCATACAGATTACAGCAAAGAAACCTGCTCTGTACACATGGGGTCGCTATGAGTTAGAATCGACTTGATAGCAACTGGTTTGTTTGTTTTAATGATGAAATTATTCCTAGAATGATAAAATAGGAAAATATTTCAAGATATAGGAAAAGTAAGATCACTGAGATCCATGTTGCATCTTAGATTTTTGAAAAACATCCAGTAGACTCGTATGGTAATTGTGAGGTAGAATGAGTTTTTGGAAGACCTCTAAGAAAGAATAGAAGTCATGAAATAGCAGTTCTTACAAATAAAACTGCTCAAAAAAGAAACTCAAAAGCTAACATTGGAGCCAGTGGACCCAGATGGTGTTGCTGAACCGGGAAGGTGGGTCCTTGTCTGGCGCACTCAGACCTGCCAGTAATCTGGACACCGGTCTTTGAGAAAGAGAAAGTAACTTTATTGAAATGCGAAGAGCAAGGAGCTGGGAGGAAGTTCCTCAAATATGACTCCCCGAGCTATGGGGAAACAGGGCTTATATATGATTTGGGTAGCAAGATGGCAGCTGTGCAGGCGTACTGGGGAGGGAAAATTCTAGAAAGAATACGTTGCAGGAATTATGGTAGCTAGGAAACAGAGGTCACGTGTTTCTTGTCAAATCTCTAGCTTTGGAATAGGGTCCGGGTGATGCGTTTCCTTCTGATTGGTTCCACCTGTTGTTGTGTCCGCTGTTGAGGTTAACTAATGGTCACAGCTGGCCCAAATCTAGCTTGGGCTGGTTTAAGGCAGTCTTTTCTGACTAATAGAAATTTACTGGCATTTGTAGGGTCAGGTTACAAGGGTTATGCCGGGGGTCTATCCTGCTTCTAATATATCATCTGAAGGAAATAATTTAAAAGGCAGACAAAGACTATCATATGAAGATGTTCACTGCAGTGTTATTTTTATTAAAATAGGAAAAAACCTAGGTGTATAACAGAATAATAGATTGGTTACGGCACGTCAGTGTACCAAAATCTTATGTAATGGTATAAAGTTACATTTTCAGAAGATCTTTAATGATATGGGAATACAGTCATGATAACCAACCAGTTATCGGCTCTGACTCATGGCAACCGCATGTATGTCAGAGTAGGAAAACCTGTATTCCCTAGAGTTTTCAGTGGCTGGCTTTTCGGAAGCAGATTGTCAGGCCTTTCTTCCAAGGTGTGTCTGGGTAGAGTAGAACCTCCAACCTTTTGGTTAACAGCCAAGCATGTTAACTCTTTGCACCACCCAAGGACTTGATAGTCATGATAGAATATTAAATTTACAAAGCACAATGCACAACTATATACCGTGTAAGGTCACCTGTGTAAAATCTATACGTGAAAAATATTGGTAGCAAATACATGAAATGTTACTAGTTTTTTTTTGTGTGTGGATGTTGAGGTGATGTGTGATATTTAAATTTTACTGTTTACACATTTTTGTCTTCTAAAATCTATAATTATCGTGTATCATTTTTTAAGCAAAGCTCATCTTTTTGTGATGTTGAAGCAAATCATTCTGTTTTTATAACAGCTTAATTAAGGTGTAAATTACATACCACACAGTTCATCTATTTGAAGCATACCATTCAATGGTTTTTAGTATATTCACAGAGTTGTTCAATCATCACTACAATCCATTTTAGAACATTTTCATCACTCTTAAAAGAAAAAAAAAAAATCTTGCAATCCATTAGCCATTACTCCTCATTTTCCCCCAACCGCCCGTGGCCCTGGCAACCACTAATCGACTTTCTGTCTCTGGGTTTGCTAGTCTTGCATAGTTCATATAAATGGAATCATACAGTATGTGGTCTGTGACTGGCATAAACTTTCACTTAGTGTAATCTTTTTAAGGTGAAGCAAGTCATTCTTGTACTTTAGCTTACTCATTTTATTTAAAAATAATGCTAACCTTTATTTATTATACGATATAATGTATTTTTTCTTTACTTCTAGATTTGGTTCCTTCAATTATGAACAACCTGTTGAATCCAGACGCCATTTTCTCCAACAATGAAATGAGCCTGTCAGATATTGAAATCTATGGCTTTGATTATGATTACACTTTGGTGTTTTATTCAAAGCACCTCCACACACTGATATTTAATGCTGCTCGAGACCTTCTTATAAATGAACACCGGGTAAGATGACAGGGACATTTGGGTCTTCCTCCCCTTTTTGCTTACACGTTTAAAGAACAGCCTTGAGCTGACAGCCCCTTGCTTGACACATAGAAGTCGTTTAGTAAGTTGTTGCTGAATGAATGAGTAGATTTTATTCTGTTCCAGATAACTATATCTGCGAGGTAGTTGTTTTGAAAAAAGTCTTCAGCTGTCTCTTTGGTAAAAGACTGCTGTAAGTTTGGCATTGATGGAGACTGTTACGGATTGAACTGTGTCCCCCAAGAATGTGTGTCAACTTGGCTAGGCCGTGATTCCCTGTATTGCGTGATTGTCCACTATTTTGTTATCTGATGTGATTTTTCTGTGTGTTGTAAATCCCACCTCTATAATGTTAATGAGGCAGGATTAGAGGCAGTTATGTTAATGAGGCAAGACTCAATCTACAAGATTAGGTTTTGTTTTAAATCAGTCTCTTTTGAGATGTAAAAGAGAGAAGCAACAAAAGAGATGGGGTGGGCCTCATACCACCAAGAAACAAGAGCCACGAGAATAGCTCAACCTTTTGACCCAGGGTCCCTGCACTGAGAAACTCTTCAACCGGGAAAGATTGATGACGAGGACCTTCCCCCAGAGCCAACACAGAGAGAAAGCCTTCCCCTGGATCTATTGCCCTGAATTCTGACTTCTAGCCTACTAGACTGTGAGAGAATAAGCTTCTGTTTGTTAAAGCCATCCACTTTTGGTATTTCTGTTAAGCAGCACTAGGTAACTAAGACAGAACTTGGTACCAAAAGACAGTGGGGTGCTGCTTTAACACATACCTTAAATGTGGAAGCGGTTTGGAACTGTGAATGGATAGAGGCTGGAAGAGCTTTAAAGCGTCTAACAGTAAAAGCCTAGATTGCCTTGAAGAGACTGTTGGTGGAATTATGGACATCAAAGACAGTTGTGGTGAGGACTCAGAAGGAAGTGAGGAGGCTGTTACAGCGGAGACGATGCAGACGGCGAGAAGCAGCAGCAGAGAAACCATAGCAGCGGAACCAGAAGACTGGTGTGAGACAGCGCTGGAGCCGACCCACAGAACAAGAGAACTGAATGCCGTTGCACAGGATGCTTTCTGGCAGAGTAGGGTGCCTCTGGGCACTTGTTGGTAGAGCTGAAGAGCTTGGGAAAACTTGCTCCAGCAGGGCACATATCCAGGCTGTGAGGCTCGAGGGCCAAGAGGCCAAGGAACCAGGAAGCAGAAGCTGAAGAGACAAGGAACACAGGAAGCAGAAGCTGAAGAGACAAGGAACACAGGAAGCAGAAGCTGAAGAGACAAGGAACACAGGAAGCAGAGCTGCCTCAGTCTCAAAGGGTAGGGCCACGAACTCTGGAGTCTCAAAGGGTGGAGTCGCCACCCAGATGGATTAGGAGAATGGTGTACCTAAAGCCACGGAAGCAGAGTTGCAATTCCAGTCGGCCTGGATGGCAGAGCTGAAGCCCAGGGCACAGGGGCGTCCACTAGGAATCTGGAGAGTGTGGCCAACGCCTAGAGTCTGGAGGGCAGGGCTATTGTGTAAATGGTCTCAGAGAACAGGATTATTTTCAAGCCTTGAGGGCTAATGTAATGTGTTCTGCTGACTTGCTTGGTGCCTATTACTCCTTCTTTCTGTCCAGTTTCTCCCATATGTAATGGAAATGTCTAGCTTATGCCGGTTGCACCATTGTACTTTGAAAGCAGGTAACTTGTATTCTAGATTTTACAGATAAAGGGGAATTTTTGGATTTTGGACTTGGAGTTGATTTAAGACTTTTGCTATGATATAATGGGGTGAATGTGTTTTACATGTGACAAGGACATGAATTTTGGGGAGCCAAAGAGTGGAATGTTATGGATTGAATTGTGTCCCCTAAGAATGTGTGTAAACTTGGCTAGGCCATGATTCCCTGTATTGTGTGATTGCCCACCATTTTGTCATCTGATGTGATTTTCCTCTGTGTTGTAAATCCTACCTCTATGATGTTAATGAGGCAGGATTAGTGGCAGTTATGTTAATGAGTCAGGACTCAACCTATAAGATTAGGTTTTGTGTTAAGTCAGTCTCTTTTGAGATTTAAAAGACAGAAGCAAGCAAAGAGACAAGGGGACCCCATACCACCAAGAAACAAGAGCCAGGAGAATAGCACATCCTTTGGACCTCGGGGTCCCTGTGCTGAGAAGCTCCCCGACCAGGGAAGATTGATGACAAGGATCTTCCTCCGGATCCAACAGAGAGAGAAAGCCTTCCGCTGGAGCTGGCTCCCTGAATTCTGACTTCTAGCCTACTAGACTGTGAGAGAATAAGCTTCTGTTTGTTAAAGCCATCCACATTTGGTATTTCTGTTATAGCAGCACTAGATAACTAAGACTCAGCTGCAGATGTCTGTGTTCTCAAGGCTTACAGAGCAGTGACATAGCTCCTTCCACACCTGGTGAAGTAGCAGCCTGGCGAGTGCTGATTAGAAGGGATTCCTCAAATGGTAGGCAGGGTCTTACCCTCAGTACTAATTTGAATTTTTTTTTTATATAGAGAATATTTTGAATGTCTTGGAGCCCTGGTGGCACAGTGGTTAAGAGCTCAGCTGCTAACCAAAAGATCAGCAGTTCGAATCCACCAGCCCCTGCTTGGAAACTGTATGAGGCTGTTCTGCTTTGTCCTGTAGGGTTGCTATGAGTGGGAGTCGACTCGATGGCATCGGGTTTTTTTTTATGGTTCTGTGCTAAGCCCTGTAATAGAAGCAGGGAGGATAAAGAGGAATAGGACACAGGTGCTGCCCTTGGAGAACCAGCAGTGTGTAATGAGGGAGTCAGCCAGGTGGGCGGATAAATTATGAAGCCACCTGGTGGAGTCCTCAATAGAAATCTGAACAGAGGGCTAGGGATACATACAGGATTGTTGGAACAACTACCTCTGCCTGAGGGAATTGGGGACATAACAAAGAAGGTGATATTTCAGCCTAGTCTTGAAGAAGTTTACCAGCAAAAGTGGACTTAAGGTGGGTGGGATGGGTGAGTATGAGTAACCTAGAGACCCAAATCGTGGCAACTGATCATTTTTACTTGACTCTTTAAGTACCAGATATATAATGAGCTGGGTGTAATAGAGACAAGCCTCATTATGCCCTCCAAGACTTCTCTTCCCAGGCTTTTCATTCTTAGTTTTTTCAGCTATTCTTACTTGCCTATTCCATTCTTTTCATTATCCTGGTCACCCTCCTTTGTGTATGCTCTGGTTTGTCCCTCCCAAGTGTGAGGCCATGAACTGAAGATGTTACTGCAGGTGGGGTCTGACCAGGGTGGAATAGAGGGAGACCACCACCTTCCTGGTTCTGGATGCCATACTTTTATTACACTGATACAACCAAAGTTTCTGTTAGTTTTGACCATTTGATCTAGTATATCCCTGATCCTATCAGCTTTTTGTTACCAGTGGAGTTAAGAAGTAACACATTTTGTCCTCTTCCGAAATACAGAAATGGCATTGGCCAAAAACAACCTTCCCTTCTGCCATTAATCCAACAGCCAGCTTATGGCACTTTACCAGATGTGAAGCCATCTAGCCACTTGCCATCCAGCTGCATGTCTCCATTTGTTCCAGACAGATGCTTCTCTTCTATCAGATCTGTGGTCCTTTCCCTTGACCGTAAGGAGAATGGTGAATTGAGAACTAATGGTTATGCTTTTGCTCTCCCATCTGACGGTCTACACCATTTCTTCACCACCTGCTGGGAGATCGAGCTAAAGGGGTGTTGAATTGGTGTTGGCTTTGTAGTATAAGGTCTTCTGACCTCATTTTCTGTGACTTCGATATCATCTATAAAATCAAGGTCATTACATAACAGCACCATCTATTGATTGTCAGCTATGTGCCAAAAGCAGAGGCACTAGAGGCTCGAATACTGGCTTTTACCACTTATTTCCTATGTGGTCTTGAGCGACTCACCTGATTTCTCTGAGCCTCAATGTCCTCCTCTTTAAAATGGGCATAGTGATAGTGCTTTCCTCACAGTGTGCTTGTGATCATTAAATGAGTCAATATATGTAACATAGAAAGCGTTCAATAAATGTTAGCTATTACTATTAATAGCTTGATGACAACAGGTTTGGTTTTTTTTGGATGAAGGTACACATTTGGAGGATGAAATCAAGAATCAAACACTTCCTTCTATTCCTTGGCAGGCATGTGAAATGAAGATATGGAGATAGCCATCACCCTATATTATATACATTTTTGTAAAAATTTGTTCTTATAAAAAAAAAGGTAATTGAAGGAGCTGGAACTTTTACATTTGCTTTTTGGAAAGATGCAAAATTGCAAATTTAATGTGCATCTCAAAAGCAGATGTCTTTCCATCTCTACAAGCATATAAAGTGCATTTACTCTTGGCAGGAAAAAGGGCACCCAGCTTGGAAGAATTCTTTTGTTTAATCGAAGCAAGAGAAAAATCTGCGTAAGCACAATTGAATCTATTAATATGCCTGATATAATTAGAGTTATAACATTTCTTTTATCCAAGTAATAAACAGACATAATGTGAATGAGATTTCAGTGATCTTAAATCTGGAAGCTTTTCCAATCACCATCATTGCACCTTTTATTTTTTCCATCTGTTTCATCTCTCTTCACCCTCAAAATTTCAAAAACTTTTAATTTTATTTCCATCTGAACGATAAACCCACTGAGTAGAAAGGGAAGGTGTGATCAGCCCTGCAGTGGGCAGCATGGAGTAGAGGAGAGGGCACAGGTACTTGGAAACAAACAGATCTGAGTTTAAACCCTGGTTCTGCTTCCTACTGGCCTGTAGGCTTCAGCTAGCGGCTTAACTCTTTAAGCCTCAGTTTCCTCAACTGTAAAACAGACACATCCATTTGCAGGGCTGATATACAGATTAGAAATGAGTAATAGTAATAAAAACCTTTGCAGTCCAGTCAATTATTATGGCTCATAGCGACCCTATAGGGTAGAGCAGAACTGCCCCATAGGGTTTCCAAGGAGTGGCTGGTGGATTCGAACTGCTTACCTTTTGGTTAGCAGCCGAGCTTTTTAACCACTGTGCCACCAGGGCTTCATACCTTCATCAGAGGGCTCATTAACTGGCAGTCACATTCATTCCATTGCTGAAAGCCTAACATCAGCCTTGATGCCTTGCATTCTCCTATGTACCATGTCCCATCTCTCAACAGGTAACGTGGACTCTCTCTTTTTTTTTTTAAATTTTTTTTAATTGTACTTCAGGTGAAGGTTTACCGAACAAATAGTTTCTCCTTAAACAGCAGTACACATATTGTTTTATGACATTGGTTAACACGGGCTCGCTCTCTTTTATAAATGAGCTTTTTGTTTTAGATTTATAGAAAAGTTGCAAAGGTAGTACAGAGAGTTCTTGTATACCCCTGGACAGGTTTCCCCTAATATTAACACCTTACATTACTGTGGTACACTTATCACAACAAATGAACCAATATCGATTCATTATACTGGGGCTAAATGAGAATTTTAATAAAAATCCCAAATAAAGCCTTATGTTTTAAGGATACCAGTAATCTTTATGATACCGCACATTGAGCAAGTCTCACATTCATGCCAGTGGAAAGTTTCTAAACTATGATGAGTTCAGAAAATCTAGTGGCAAGGCCATTGGAGAGACATGTAACTGACTGATGGAACAGCTCTGGCTTCCTGGTATGGATGTTCCTGTTGATGGTTGATCCCAGAGATTTTGTGTGTGTGCGTGTGTGTGTGTGTGTGTGTGTGTGGCCAAGAACATCTGTGGAAGGGGGCCCATCATGAGAACATTTGACTTGTCTGGTTGTATAGGGAATCCCACAATTTATGTGCAAGTGAGGAACATAGAAATTACCCCAGTCCAACCATTTCATTGTACAGACGAAGGAAGAGACCTGGGAGGCTAAGTGAGTCGTCTAAAGTTGTACAGGAAAGTAGCAGAGGCTAGTAGAACCTCAAACCAAACCCGTTGCCGCTGAGTTGATTCTGACTCACAGCGACCCTAGAGGACAGAGTAGAACTGCCCCATAGGGCTTCCATGGAGCGGCTGGTGGATTTGAACTGCTGACCTTTTGGTTAGCAGCCTGAGCTCTTAACCGCTGTGCCACTAGGGCTAGTAGAGGGGGCCTAAAACCCCAGTCCTCCCAATTCCTAATCAAGTGAAGCAGCTCAGTTTTATTGAGCAGTTGCTGTGTGCCAGAGACTGCCCTGACTCCTTACATACCTTTTCTGACTTTGTCCTCCCCTCCTCCACATAGGGTGGCTGTCTTGCCATCCCTACTTTGTAGATGAAAACACTCAGGCTCAGAGAGACAGAGGACTGTGCCTGAGGTCACACAGCTTAGCACATGATGGGACCAGGATTTGATGCCTGGTCTGTCAGCAAGGGAACCCATGTTCTTCATCATAATATTGTGTTGGGGCTCTTACAGCTGCTTGTCAGATTCTCAAGGTCCTCGACTATAGTCTTTGGACCATACGAAAAACATTATGTATCTCTCAGGAGTGGCTCCCCAAGAATAACACAGAGAGAGGGAGGAGAGGGAATGTGTATATGTTTCCACTCCTCCAGGTGGATCCAGGTCTCACTGTGTCCTGCGGGGGAGCCCAGATAAGCCTCCTTCAGAGAAAGAGCTGCCAGACTTTTCAGCAGTACACATATAAAGAGTACACATCTCTTTCTTATTCACGCACCCTCTCTCAGCTAAAATGCTCAGCACTCCACCCTTAACCCTGAATCTTTTCAGCAAACTTATTGAGTTCCTCTGAGGTGGCAGGTGCTGCTATGGCAGGGAGGTGGTGAGCGTCCACTGTGGTGTCTCAGAGTTGGTTCAGAGTTGATTACATGGTGGTTGGACGTGTGCTTGGGCATGCCACAGACCTGGCTTCAAATGCTGGCTTGACCACTCTCCAGCTGTGTGATCCTGGGCAAGTTCCTTGACCCTAACTGTCTTAATTATCTAGTATTGCTGTTACCGAACACAATGGGTTTGCCACTTGTACTCTCGTTAAGAGTAACTAAGAGCCAGGCAGATTTAAAGCAAGGCATAGTTTATTACTCGCAGTGAGTAAGGAGAGGAGGGGGGATCCTCCCCGAAAGCACTCTCTCTCCGAACAAAGGGCTAGGGGTGCAGTTTTACACCACGCAGGAAAGGGGAAGTCATACATATCCATTAACTTCATATATATTCAAAAAAGGGGCTGGGGTAGGATTCTGGCACAGAAGTGGCTGACCGACTTCTCGCTTCGGATTGGGCTAGGTCACCCCTTGATGATGTATGGCCGGTGATTTTGGTTCCTAGGCAACACTTACGGGATGAGGCCATCTGACGGTGGACCTGGTCTCTTACCACGCATGCCCAGGATTCTAGTTCTAATTGGCTGATCTGAAAGACAGCTACAAGCGGACACAGGAGGAAGCAAACAACATTTGTACCATTCTTCTAGAAAAAATTTTTAACTGACGTAACTTGTCATTTAAGGCCTTTTCTGTCCCTAGCTGGTCTCACTGCTATAACAGAAATACCATAAGTGGATGGCTTTAACAAACAGAAGTTTATTCTGTCACAGTCTAGGAGGCTAGAAGTCAGAATTCCGGGAGCCAGCTCCAGGGGAAGGCTTTCTCTCTCTGTTGGCTCTGGGGGAAGGTCCTTGTCATCAATCTTCTGCTGGTCCAGGAGATTCTCAACGCAGGGACCCTGGGTCCAAAGGGTACGTTTTGCTCGCAGCACTGCTTTCTTGGTGGTATGAGGTCCTCTCTGTCTCTCTGCTTGCTTCTCTCTTTTATATCTCAAAAGAAATGGACTTAAGACACAACCTAGTCTTGTAGATTGAGTCCTGCCTCATTAACAATGTAACTGCCTCTAATCCTGCCTCATTTATCATAGAGGCAGGATTTACAACACAGAAGAAAATCACATCAGATGACAAAATGGTGGACACCCACACAATACTGGGAATCATGGCCTAGCCGAGTTGACAGGTATTTTTTGGGGACACAATTCAATCCATAACACTAACCTTCAGACTATTCAACAGTAAAATGGTCTTGATACACTCTTTCTCTTTCGTTCCGGGTTATTGAGGAGTAGATATTATCAAGTTGGCGAAAGTGTCTAGTGCTGGGTGTGGTACATAATAAAAGCCCAATAAAAGCACCCCTCTCAGTGCCATCTTTTAAATCTCTCCTTTACCACCCTTTATTCATCATTCCCGAGTTTAAAAGGAGGTTCCAGATTGCTTAAGTTCCTTGGCCTCCTTTCAGTACAGAACCGTGTTACAGTATGTTGGATTCTGTGTAAAGTGTGGCAAGTATGTCAGTAAGAATGAAGAGCTGTGCACAACATTCAGAATTCTTGGAAACGCCTGTGGTGGGAATGTCAGCTTAGTGATTTCTTGGCACTCGTTGCAGGTGTTAGATAAATGAGCCCAAGTGTGACACTGGAGTTAGTGCCTCCCGCAGCCTGACTTGAGAGCTTGCTGCGTGCAGTTGAGCCTGGTGGTACCAGGAAATGTTCTCACGCAGATGTGACCCCAGCCATGAAGCATTAGCAGCGCAGCCATGGAAAGCAGTTTCCTTGAGTTTAATAGTTGTCTAGGTATTCCCTTAAACAGTGTACATCGTGACTGCAAGTGTATTACTTAGTAGTGTTGCCGCCTCTCTGGACAAAGGGATAGATACCCCATCCTGCAGGTGTGCGTGCCAAGGGCAGGGGGTGGGGAGCGCACGGGCCATGGCCTGACTCCCCACCGTTGTGCACTGATGTGTGGTCAAGGCCAGGGTGTTTCCTCAGTGCCTCTGAGTCCCTCTGTGCGACGGGCGGGGAGGCCTGTCGTGCAGTAGCAGCTGACACTGTACCTGGCACACGGGTGCCCTGGGAGGTGGCCGGTGTTCTCATTCCGAGATTTGGGAAGGGACTGAAGGACTTGGATGCCTGGTTCAGTAGATAAAGGCCAGGATTTTTGCATCGTGTGAGGAATGGTTTAATAACCAGGGGAGTCAACCAGGGAGGGCGGGCCTGGCAGAAGGGAGGGCTCTGCCACCCCCTGCACCTTTACCTAGCTGGGCACAGAGACTGTTCAGGGAAGCTGTGGTTTGTCCTTTCTGAGCCTTTCTCCCCACCAGAGGGCATCAACTACCTTACTCTTTGTACAAGCGTCAAATCTGAACTCTGTCTTGAACTTAGTACATTATTAGCTAAAACCCCTTTCTTCTTTCTTAGTATCCTGCGGAAATCAGGAAGTATGAGTATGACTCAAATTTTGCAATTCGTGGACTTCATTATGATGTACAGCGGGTAGGTTGAGTTCTCACGTGTCTTTACAGTTTAACAGTGTTTGAGAATAAAGTGTACTCTTGGTACTTTGCTGGACATGTAAATTGATTTTAAATTTTTTTCTGTGGGACTTCACAACTGAATGATTCAAACATCTTTGGATAAAGTCTTTTCGAAGAGACTACGTATTAGAAAAGCACGAATGCACTCAGCTGTTTGGGAGGTGCCCCTTATCCCCAGTAGTCATTTTTGACGTTTCGAGGCAGAGCCAGATGCCATATCTTTTTTTTTTTTTTTGGCAGAGACCATTTCCTAAATGAGTTGTACAGTGCTTTAATTAACCAGCAAACCTTTCAGAACCATGCAGTGTGCTTCCTTTTTGTGGCAGCCTAATGTTGATAGGATTTTTAATAACCTGGAATTCTCATCACATATGCAAATTGTCGTGCATTGCTTATATGTGCATGTGTTTGTGTTTCTAAAGGCAGTCTTGATGAAGATTGATGCTTTTCATTACATCCAGCTGGGAACTGTCTACAGGTAAGAAGAGTAAGAGGAGGTAAATTGAATTTACTCAGAGTAACCAAGTGGCTTTGGGTTTCGGGGTCCACTGGCTGTTCAGTGATGAGGGGGGATGTGGTGTGTGTATTCCTCACTCACTCACTCATTCATTAAAGAACATTTTTTGTGGCCCGCTGCCATGCTAGCTGCAAGGGGCTTAGATTGTAAGGATGGAGATGACATGATTCCTGCCCCCAAGGACCTTTGTGTGTAGGTGGGAAGTCACATGTGTAAACCAGTGACTGCAGCCCAGAGTGACAAAGGTCATGATGGAACTGTGCTCAGACAGTAGGGAGCACTCAGGAGGCCACCTTATCCAGACTCTGGGAGCAGGACAGGCTTTCTGGAGGTGACGGCTGGCGAGCTGAGCGAGGATCCTGGTGCAGAGTTCTGGGTGGAAGGTGTGTCGGGGTGAGGGAGCGTGTCTTGTTTTCACCACGGTAATTGGGTGGTTTGGATATGAAGACTTTTTTCCTTTCTGTTTATTATAATCAGTAGAAGTAATTATCTCAGTCATGAGTCTTTGTGGCTTTTAAAATGGAGGCTTTTGCCTTTTTAAATTCTCAAATTTGGGAGGAAGTTCAGGAGTGTGGTTTATATTTAGGTTCATATCTTGTACCTTAAAAAAATGTGTGCACAATAGCAAAAAGATGGAAACAACCTAGGTGCCCATCAACAGATGAAAGATAAACAAATTACGACTCTACAGGTCTCATTCACTCGTAAGCCAAGTAGTGCACTGTGATTGTGTTCCCTCTTGTACAGTGTTTGGTTTTTCTTAGGATTAACGATAACCTCGTTTTTTATTTGCTCAGCTTTTCTGTGTTGTTGTTGTTGGCATTGAGTTGGCTCTGATTGATAGTGACCCTGTGTAGAACAGAACGAAACGTTGCCCAGTCCTGCGCAATCCTCACAAATCACTGCTATGTTTGAGCCCATTGTTGCAGCCACTGTGTCCAGCCATCCTGTTGAGGGTTTCACTCTTTTTTCGCTGACCCTCTACTTTACCAAATGTGATGTCCTTTTCTAGTGATTGATCTTTCCTGATGACATGTCCAAAGTAAGCAAGTCGAAGTCTCGCCATCCTTGCCTCTGAGGAGCATCCTGGCTGTACTTCCTCCAAGACTGATTTGTTTGTTCTTCTGGCAGTCTATGGTGTATTCAGTATTTTTGGCCAACACCACAGTTTGAACGCATCAATTCTTCTGCCTTCCTTTTTCATTGTCCAGCTTTTGTATGCATAGGAGGCAATTGAAAAGACCATGGCTAGGGTCAGGTCGTACCTTACTTATCAAAGTGACATCTTTTTTTTTTTCAAGATTTTAAGGAGGTCTTTTGCAACAGATATACCCAGTGCAACTTGTTGTTTGAGTTCTTGACTGCTGCTTTCATGGGTGTTGATTATTGATCCAAGTAGAATGAAATCCTTGGCAACATCAGTTTCTTCACTGTTTATCATGATGTTGATAAACAGTTTTCTAGAGAGCCCTGGGGGCACAATCGTTAAAGCACTTGATTGCTAACAGAAAGATTGGTGGTTCAAACCTACCAGATGCTCCGCGGGAGAAAAGACCTGGCAATCTGCTCCTGTAAAGATTTCAGCCTAGGAACCCTTATGGGGCAGTTCTACTCTGTCCTGTAGGGTTCCTATGAGTCGGAAATGACTTGATGACAGACCACTACAACAATAGGCAACTCTCCTTATTTTTTTCCAAATGCTTCATGCATATATTTATTTTCCAATAGTTCAAATGTTTCAGCCCCTTACATTTTTAGTCAACTTACTCAAAAGCCTTAGCTTCTTTCTCTTCCGTGCCCAGCTCTTTTACTTATTGGATTGGCTAAGACTCTTGGTTGCAAGTGATGGCACTCCAACTCCAACTGGCTTAATAAAAAACACAGTCTTGGCTCACTAATTCTATAAACCAGGGACAGTTGCAGGTGTGGCTGACTCCAGGGGCCAAACTGATACTGTCCGAACTCTTTCCACTTCTTGGATTAGCTCACTCTTAGGCAGCCCCCACTGGTGGTGGCCCCTGGCAATACCAGGCTGACATCTCCCCGGCTCCAGGTTAAGAGGAGAAAGGGAGCCTCTCTTCCCAACAGTTTCAAGCAGAGCCTCAGGACCAAACCTCACTGGAATGACTTGGGTTACTTGCTTGGTCCGGACCCAGTCAGAAGGAAGGGATCTGGGCAGGAGAAAACAGCACACTCATTCGTTTCATCTGAGTTCTCCTTTTTCACTGCTTGGCTTTTGCTCCTGTTGGCTTTCTGGATGCGCTTTTCCTTTCTCTCTGCCTCTTGAAATCTCACCTGTCCTCCAGGGCTGGCCTGTGCTGAGGCCTCTCCTCACCCTCAGCCTGAAAAGGTCTTTCTCTTCTATGATCCCCATGATCCGTGTGACTCCTTATTATGCAGATTGTCCATGCATTGTGGTAAGGAGCATGGAACAGGGCTGGACAGAGGAGCCAACCGAGGTGTTCAAAGGGGAATGAGCGTTCAGGTTTAGGTTCTAGGGCGTTCGCTGTGGTGTCAGTGCTGAGAGTAGGTGGGCGAGCTGAGGGGACGGCAGAGGCACATGTGGGCTCTGGAATCACACTTTGGGATGTGGACCGCTCACATGCACATGGCATTGAGCAAGTTCTTAACCGTCTCTAAGCTTTGATTTCTTCCTCTGTAATATAGGGTGATGCCACGGTCCCCCTTAGAGGTGACTTGTCGTGGAGACTGAAGCATGCTTGGAGCAGTGCCCGAGGCATCATAAGCATGCCCTGGTGTCCATTGTGTCCCTTTGCCCACAAAAGAGCTAATGAATGGGAGAAGGACTGGGAAGAATGTTTCAGCCTTGGCGTGGCTCGTGTTTGAGACTGCTGCCAGCCTCTGGTTCCTACACCAGGTTCAGCTTTATGTTGTGGGCTGACAATGAGGGCACCCGGGCAGAGGAGGAGGGAGGCTGCCCTCTGCTGCAGTTCCATTTCTGTGCCCATGCTTTAAGTTCTTAAGAGGAACCTTGTGAAAAGCTGGGTTTGTTCCCATCAGAGCCACACCAAAACCCATGGCAAGCCTGTGTGTTACAGAGTAGAACTGCTCCCTGGGGGTTTCTTGGCTGTAATCTTTATGGAAGCAGATCTCCAAGCCTGTCTTCTGTGGTGCTGCTAGGTAGGTTCCAACCACCAACTTTTAGGTTAGTAGACGAGCTCAAACTGCTTGGGCCACCCAGGGACATTCACACTAGCAACACTTACATAAAACTTGCCATGTGCCAGTTATTGTTCTGTATACATTAACTCATTGGATCCTCTCATTAACACTGGGAGGTGGTACTATGATTGTTCCCAATTTTAAAAATGAAGACATTGAGACACAAAGACTTTAAGTTAACTGTCAAGGTGATCAACCAAAAAACTCACTGCTGTCGAGTCGGTTCCGACTCACAGTGACCCTATAGGACAGAGTAGAATTGCCCCATAGGGTTTCCAAGGAGCGGCTGGTGGATTTGAACTGCCGACCTTTTGGTTAGCAGCTGAGCTCTTAACCACTGTGCCACCAGGGCTCTGTCAGTCTCTACTAATTAAGGAAACTGGCATTTGAAGCCTGGGCACACTTGTTCAGATCTCTGCTCTTAACTGTTATGCTTTTCTTAATCCATACCAAAACCAAACCCATTGCCGCTGAGTTGATTCCGACTCATGGCGACTCCAAGTGTTTAGAGTAGAACTGAGCTCCGTAGGGTTTTCTTGGCTGTAATCTTTACGGAAGCAGATCGCCAGGCTTTTCTTCCATGGTACCTCTGGGTGGGTTCAAACTGCCAACCTTTAGGCTAGTAGATGAGTGCAAACCAGTTACGCCCCCCAGTGACCCTCTTAATCCACACAAAAAACCAAAAACACACAAAACCAAACCCGTTGCCGTTGAGTCGATTCCAACTCCTAGTGACCTTATAGGACAGAGTAGAACTGCCCGTTAAGGTTTCCAAGGCTGTAAATCTTTACAGAATCAGACTACCACATCTTTCTCTTGAGGAGTGGTTGGTGGGTTAGCAGCTGAGCACTTAACCACTGCACCACCAGGGCTTCCTTAATCCACACAGGGCTGGGTAAAATGGTTTTCGTTTTCATTTGCAGTGCTGGTATAGGCTGCATCCAGGTGCTGCCAAGCCAACTGCTGTGCCTGTCGGAGCGGTTCTATGTGGTGTGGCTTCTGAGGGCGCTGCCTCCAGGGGAAGTTAGCTGACTGGACCAGGCCGATTTCACCACTTCTTTTGAGATGACATTTGATTACTTGGATCTTAAGGATGCAGCCTGTATGGCCACGTGCTTGTGAATCTGTCTTCTAGGCAGCAATGGCCTTTGAAGGCCTGGGCAGTGCATGAGTGGGGGGCAAGGAACTCAGTCTCACACGGTAGAGTCTTCTTTGCCTTTTACACTTTCTAAATGGTAGAGTCTTAGGAGTGTGTGTGCCTGCCTGCTGCTCCTTTAGCCCAGGTTGCTTTCCAAGGTCACTGTCTAGAATGACCTGATCTATCTTATCTGATTTCTGGAGCAACGATTAGGGAATCAGTGTGCCTCTTTTGTTTTCAAAAACCAGTAGTGTAACACTTTAATCAAGATCAGAGGCAAAATATTGATGAATCTACTCTTATCTTTTAAAAAGTAATATGGGGCATGGAAAGTAAGGAAAGAGGTAGAAACTATGTTTTCATTAAAATTACATATCAAAACATAAATTATATTTGATATGTATTTTGGAGTCCTTGGGTGGTGCCCTAGAGGCATAGTAGTTAAAGAGCTCAGCTGCTAACCAAAAGCTCAGCAGTTCAAATCCACGAACCGCTCCTTGGAAACCCTATAGGACAGTTCTACTCTGTCCGGTAGGGTCGCTATGAGTCAGAACTGACTCAACGGCAACTGGTTTGGATGAGGTGATGCAAATGGTTAATACACTCAGCTGGTAATCGGAGGTTTGTAAGTTCAAATTCACCCACAGGCGCCTCAGAAGAAATACTTGGTGGTCTACTTCCGACAATCAGCCATTGAAAACCCCGTGGAACACAGTTTTACTCCGACACACAATGGGGTCAACAGCAGCTGGGATATGTATTTTAATTTTGGCCAAGTGATTTTATATGTTAAGTGACCTATTTATAACTAAAATTCTTACTGAATTATTTATATTCTTCTTGTAGCACTACTCAATGTTTCCTGTACCATTCCTAATAATTTGTCTATTAAGTGCTTGCTCCTCTAGAGAAGAGGTAGAGGAAGGGATATTCCCCTCATAATACCCTAGAGTGGGTGATTCCAGGTGAGGAAATGTGAGGACATCAAATCTCAGGGAAAGCACCTGCTCATGTTGTTGGTGGTAGAGGCAGGGGTGAAATCCAGGCCACTTGGACTCCAAAATTCATATTTTCTCCTTTATACCAATGAGCTGGATTCTTCTGCAAATTGTTCTGCATCTCCCTGAGGTAGGCAGGTGGCAGATGTTACTTTTACCTTTTACAGATGAGGAAACTGGTCATGAAATGTTAAATAACTCACTTGGCACCTTGGCCGAGGTGGTGGTGCCTAGGCTTCCTGCCTTGCGTAAACAGGTTTAGTTCACCAGAACCTCGTGGTTGACTTTTTCCATCTCAGCACACAAGTGAGTGAGATCCACGTGTGAGTCACGTGCACTCATGGACATGGGACCTTTTTCTCAGGGGAGAGTATTGGAGGGCAAAAGAGTGAGTGTGATGGAGGGCAAAAGAGTGAGTGTGATGGAGACAAAAACGGCCATTTTCTGCCTGAAGGTATTAAACAAAAAAACCCCAAAACACCAAAAAGTAAGTTGTTAGAAAGCCTGTATTTTATTGAGGGAGGCAGGGTAATGTGGTGGTTTAAGAGTGTGGGCCTTGGAACCAGAAAGACTGTGTTCCAATCCCATCCCACCATTTTCTACTTGTGTGACCTCGGCCAAGTTATGTAACCTTTCTGTGCCTCAGTTGCTTCATCTAGAAAATGGGAAGAAAAATAGTGCTCCTTCCTAGGATGGCTGAGAATTAAATGAATGTCTCTGTAATTTATATCTGGCATATAGTAGGTGCCATCATTAGCACTGCTGTTATTAAGCAACATCATGATAAACAGAGGAAAGTTTGAAGATGTCGAGGATTTCATTTTACTTGGATCCACAGTCAATCAATGCCCATGGAAGCAGCGGTCAAGAAGTCAAACAGTGTATCACATAGGGCAAATCTGCTGCAAAAGACCTCTTTAAAGTATTAAAAAGCAAAGATGTCGCTTTGAGGACTAAGGTGTGCCTGACCCAAGCCATGGTGTTTTCAGTCACCTTGTATGTGAAAGCATGTGAAAGCTGGATGATACATAAGGAAACTGAAGAAGAACTGGTGCATTTGAATTGTGGTGTTGGCAAAGAATATCGAGTATACCATGGACTGCCAGAAGAATGAACAAATCTGTCTTAGAAGAAGTACAGCCAGAATGCTCCTTAGAAGCAAGGATGTTGAGACTTCATCTTACGTACTTTGGACATGTTATCAGGAGGGACCAGTCCCTGGAGAAGGACATTATGCTTGGTAAAGTAGAGGGTCAGCGAAAAAGAGGAAGACCATCAACGAGATGGATTGACAGAGTTCCTACAACAATGGGTTCAAACATAGCAATGATTGTGAGGATGGCACAGGACCCAGCAGTGTTTTCTTCTGTTGTACATAGTGTTGTGATGAGTCCAAACTGACTCAGTGGCACCTAACAACAACAATAACAAAGTAGTAATAGTAGCAACATCTTACCTGTTATTTGAACAATTCCTGGTGACACATCCCCCTTCACAATGACAATGGCATCTTTACCTGTGTTGACAATCCATGTAGATGGTAGGGTCTGGAAGGCATTGTTCTCTCTAGTTGAGCTCTATAACTGCACTCTGATTTTTCCAGAGGTCTCAGCGTTGTCCCTGATGAAGAAGTCATTGAAATGTACGAGGGATCCCATGTGCCCTTGGAACAGATGAGTGACTTTTATGGAAAGGTAATGATAAATACTGTATTTATTTAAAGCAGCCTGTCTTTTTCCTTCTTAAACTATTGCCTTATCAGTGTAGGAGCTTGAACTACTAGACTTACCTACTGTTCATTTGGAATTAGCAGGGAAACTTGAGATTGTGTTTTGAGAGACCCTTGGTGGCACATTAGTTAAGCGCTCGGCTGCCAACCAAAAGGTCAGTAGTTTGAACCCCTCAGCTGCTTCGAGAGAGATAAGACCTGGAGATCTGCTCCCATAAATATTTCCGCCTAGGAAACCCTATGGGGTAGTTCAACTCTGCCTTATAGGGTTGCTATGAGTTGGAATCGACTTGACGGCACACGACAACAGCAACAAGAACCATATTTGAGAGAGGAAATTAGTTTGTTAAAGAGAAATGCCCCCTTCCCCTACGGTTCTTTCCTCATTCTTCTTTCTTAATCCTTTCCTACATGCTTGACTAATGGACATTATTACTTTTTTATTATCTGAATTTTCATTTGGGGAGAGGGTTCTAAATGTCGTCAACCAGAATCCCCTTTAGTAAACGGAAAGTCTTCCCGCTTTTCCCTAGTGCTTTGTTGCATCTTATCTCTGCTGTTGATGTCGGCCTTCCATTTCTAAAATGTTCCTTCCCCCCATCTCCAGAGTTCTCACGGAAACACCATGAAGCAGTTCATGGACATCTTCTCCCTGCCGGAGATGACCCTCTTGTCCTGCGTGAACGAATACTTTCTGAAAAACAACATTGACTATGAACCTGTCCATCTCTACAAAGATGTCAAGGTTGTATCAACTGTTAGAGATTACAAGGCTGTGTTCTATGTTAGCTTCTCAGTGGAAGCCACAGACTCTTTAGCCTCCTTTGTAGATTCAGTGGTTTAAATAGTCTCTCAGCTGGGATCTCTTTTATTTGTGTTTTAATCTTGAAAATTGTAAGAAAAATTGTTACATCAAGAGAGTTAAAAAGCAGTCAAGTTTTTTTTTTTTAAAAATATGGTGATCATACTCTTACCTGGCTTTCTAATCCTTGCTGATCAAAAAGATGGGGCCAGGTTTAAACACAGAAGAAAACATTCTTCGATGGTTACGAGGGTGGGGACGGAGGGTGAGGGTTATTCACTAACTAGATAGGAGACAGGAATTATCTTAGATGAAGGGAAGGACAGCACACACTACAGGGGAAGTCAGCACAACTGGACTAAACCAAGGCTAAGAAGTTTTTTGAATACAGTCAAACACTTCAAGGGACAGAGTAATGGGGGTAAGGGTCTGGGGACCATGCTTTCAGGGGACGTCTAGGTCAATTGGCATAACAAAGTTTGTTAAGAAAATGTTCTGCATCCTACTTCGGTGAGTGGCATCTGGGGTTTTAAAAGCTTGCAAGTGGCCATGTCAGATGCATCAGTTGGTCCCAACCACCTGGAGTAAAGGAGAATGAAGAACACCAAAGACACAAGGAAAGTATTAGCCCAATAGACAGAAAGGGCCACATAAACCAGAGACTTCATCAGCCTGAGACCAGAAGAAGTAGATGGTGCCTGGCTACCACCAATGACCACCCTGATGGGGAACACAACAGAGAGTCCTGGATGGAGCAGGAGAAAGGTGGGGTGCAGAACTCAGTTCTAGTAAAAAAGACCAGACTTTATGGTCTGACTGAGACTGGAGGAACCCTGGAAAGCATGGCCCCTGGATTCTCTATCAGCCCAGAACTAAAACAGTTTCCGAGGCCAACTCTTCAGACAAAGATTGGACTGGACTGTGGGACATAAAATGATACTTGTGAGGAGTATGCTTCTTAGCTCAAGTAGATACATGACACTAAATGGGCAGCTTCTGTGGGGAAATGAGATGAGAAGGTGGAGAGGGTTAGGAGCTGGTTGAATAGACACGGGGAATCGGGTGGAAAGGAGGAGTGTGCTGTCACAGTATAGGGAGAGCAATTAGGGTCACATAACAGTGTGTGAATAAATTTTTATATAAGAGACTAGCTTGAAATGTAAACTTTCACATAAACTACAACAATAAAACAAACAAAGACTACAGCCTTGGAAACCCTATAGGGCAGTTCTACTGTGTCCAGTAGGGTTGCTATGATTCGGAATTGACTGGATGGCACACAACAACAACAAAACTAGCTGACAGCGGGATGGGAGGAATATGACAATGGGCCTTAACTTATGTAAATAAAGGGATGAGCTGATTTAAAAAAAAAAAAAAGGAAGGTGGGGCTAGTGCATCTGGCTAAAGGTGAGGACTGAAATCTAGCCTGTACCATTCTCCCACAGCACCTGCCTGCAGGAAGGGGTGTGTTTCCATGAAAAGAAATAACATTCATGTCCAGGCTGTGGGCCTGTGGGACTGTAGTTGCCCAGACAAAAACCCACTGCTGTCGAGTTAATTCCAACTCATAATGACTCCATTGTTACAGAGTAGAACTGCTCCATAGGGTTTTCAAGGCTTTAATCTTTACGGAAGCAGATCTCCAGTCCTTTCTTCTGTGGCACTGCTGAGTGCGTTCGAACTGCCAACCTTTAGGTTAATAGTTGAGCGCAAACCATTTTTCCTACCACTTTTTTCTGTTGTACGCAGAGGTTCTGTATAGGCTCTTTAAGGCCCTACAGAAGCCATGCAACCATCCAAGTGGACAGAGAGCTATATATATATATGTTTATATTTACGTATTTATATGTTTATATTTATATTTACCTTCACATTTACACGTGTTTATGTATATTCTTTAAGCTGTCTAAACTTTTTTTCAATACTTAAAAATATGTTTATGTATTATTAGGCCTTTAGGTATATCTGTATTTTTTAAAGATACATATTTACATACCAAAGTACTGATTTTAATTTCTGACCACTCTGAATCCTAGGTCTTAGAAAGATAAAGGATGAATTATAGTTTCTCAACATCACTCTGGTATTATTTGGGCTAAATTTAGATATTGAGTTTCTGTTCTCCTCTTTGGGCATACAAATACTTCATCTTTAAGAATCTTTACTAATCACTTTTAGTGACCCCTTGCATTCGTGAGTTTCGATACTGTTTTGCAAGTTCAGTGTTTACTACAGGTGTTACTACCACCATAGCAAACACTTATGTAGAGTTCACTGTGTTCCAGGCATTGTTCTTCTAAGTGCTTTATGCCAATTAACTAATTTAATCCTTGCAATAATGCCTTGAGGTAGGTGCCATGATTATCATCCCCATTTAACAGATAAGGAAATTGAGGCACAGAGAGTTTGAGTAACTTGCCAAAGATCACACAGCCAGTTTAGCAGTGCCTGGATTGTAAGTCAGGTAGTCTGGCCCTTAAGTCCTTGCTCTTAACCACTTCCTTCTGCTACCTGTATGAAAGTAAAACACGTTTGTGCTGAAGGGTAATTGACACTAAGTTTATAATGCAGAAGTGGCTGCTCTTAATAGAAATCTGCCATCAACAGTCTAAAGCTTAAAGCACTATTTTGTCCGCGGCCCAGTCTGTTGCTCCTGTCTAGAGGCCCAGTACCACCTGTGAGTGGGGCTCTGCAGTGACACCTCCCAGGAGTCAGGCTGCCACACCCTGAGCATAGTAGGGGTCTGGCCTCCTCTTCTCTCCTGCTTCCTTGTTCTCTGACTGCCTGCGTGCACCAGCTCTCTGCCTGAGCTACGATCTTGTTGCCAGCTCCTCACCCCATTGGTTGACACTGCAGAGCGAAGAAGGACTCTATTATCTTTGTGTCTCAGCCTCTCCTTCTAGATCACAGAACCTGCTGTTGGGGTCTAGGAATGGAGGGGTGCAAAGATGAAAAGAGCATTATTCTCTTTGTCCAGATGACCTGTAATCATTTATTCATGACACTGCATATAAATTACTGCTCATCCTGTGGATTTCTACTCAGAATTATTTACCCAGGTTGTCTCCAAGTGACCCTTTTGAAAACCACATTGGAAACTGCCACTGTCTCCATGGAAACTTCAGCTTTCCCTAAGGGGCCACCAGAATTTAGATTCTGCTTAGTGCATGGATTGCCAGACTTCTAAAGACAGAGGTTACTGTGAATGCCATTTCATTTGTACCTCTACTCAGTCAGATACCTTAGTTATGTTTTCGCTGACTAAAATGTATCTTTTGCCAGGATTCAATTCGTGATGTCCACACCAAAGGAATAATGTACAGAGCAATTGAAGCAGATATTGGTATGTACTCGACATTATCACTGAAGATCGCGTCAGCCTCCCCCTTTGCCATGCAGCCCGGCAGGCATTTTACTTTCTGTCCAGGTGCCGAGCAGGTGCTATTTATACCTCCTCTGAGCACAGTGCAAGGACGTTGCATCTTTGCATCTCAGGCTTCTACCTACTCTTTGTTCTGGAACTTGACATAATTCCAACTGAAAAGGAGAGGAGCTGGCAGCTTTAGTCTTTCCACTTAGCTGGAGGAGGCAGGGGTCTTTGTTACTGATGCTCTGGGTACCAACGTGCCACCCTGAACCAAGCTTTCTTAAGACTTTTGTTCCCCACTGTGTCCAGGGCAGTGCAGGCCCCACAGACCCCACTTAGTAAGTATTTGCAGATTGACAGGTTTCATGCTGAATCTGGGTCCGAATTTTTCTCTTGCTCTTAGAAAAGTACATCTGTTATGCCGAGCAGACGCGTGCAGTGTTGGCCAAACTGGCAGATCATGGCAAGAAGATGTTCCTCATCACCAACAGCCCCAGTAGCTTTGTGTAAGTTGGTCTCTTTCCTTGCTGGCTTCTGGCTCACTTGTATTCCATTTATTTTAACAGTTGGAAATTCAAAAGGAAACGTTGCAAAAACAGTTAACCCTTTAATGTTAGACTAACTTGCCTGACCTGTTGTTCTAGGGACAAAGGGATGAGATATATTGTCGGAAAAGACTGGAGGGACCTGTTTGATGTGGTCATTGTTCAGGCCGAGAAGCCAAACTTCTTTAATGATAAACGGAGGTGAGTGTCTGTCTTTCTTAGGGGCTAGATTTTATTCATTTTCTGCTAGGATTATGTATGTAGTGTTTCTTGGTGAAATCTAGTTGCAAAATCATAAGCATCTGAGAATATAGCTTTTATTATCTTCTAGTAAGCCATTGAAGAAGGGTGAGGTTAGTGCAAAGCAGATAGCTTACACATCTTGAAATGATTCTCAATTTAACTTGGGCTGCTACAGAGCTGTAAGTCATTGTAAAAACAGCATGGGGAGGTGTCTGACCTCCTCCAACCCCACAAGGGGGAAGGAGAACCAACGTCAGCAGCCCAAGGCTGATTCCTGTGAGGTGGAGCTCAGACACGCCTCTTCTCTCCGCCATCTCTATCAGTTCTGACACCAACTGTCCCTCCCACAGCACTCTTTACTGGGTTTGATAATTCATTGCAATGGCCACACAGAACTCACAGACCATACTCACAATTATGGGGTTTATTAGGGAAGTAGCAGTTACAATTCAGGCTCAAGAACACTCAGGATACGGTTCTTCCATCAATCTATCCTCTCCCCAGCTGTGCTCGCAGGCACGCCTCTCCCTGGCCCTCAGTGTCTGCCCAAAGGCACTCAGCTCTCTCTCTCCATGGGCCAGGAAGCCCACCCTGCCGTCTCCGGCTGCCAGGTGTCTCCTGCTGGTCTCTCCTTCCTGGGTGGTGGGCTTCTCCTCTCTGCTCTGGAATTGGCTCTCTTCTAAGGCAAAACTGACCAATCCCCTTGGTAGACCACAATTACCCTATCATAGTCCTGCCCAATCAGCTGGGTGGGAGTTACAAGACCATGGCTAGACAAGGCCACACACAAAAGTAATTAATCCACCACAGGCCACCCCCTGGCTTTTCCAGCCATGGTTCTTTCATATTTAAAGGATAACCTCCCCCTCCCAATCATTTTACCAGTCCAGAACAGTCATTAACAATTAGTCCTTCAGTAGGGCAAAGAGTCCAAAGCGTGAGTTTGCTAAGGTACCAGCCGTTCAGGTCCGCTGTGGTTTTCCGTCTGATCTGGTCAGGTGCTCCAGAAGTCATCGTGTCTTCACCCTTTCTGGCCTCTGACAAAATTCAGCTTAGAGATTATTCCCTTGCTCTGTGCCTCACGAGGTATCAGCATAGCAAAACCTTTAAGGAAGCTTAGGTTCGGCCACTGTACTCTAATCCAGCAGCGCCTTCCCCTTAGTCCACTCTTTTATACTTATAGCTTCTACAGTTACAGTTTTTATAATCACAGTTAACCCTGTTAACTGTTAACACTCACAGCTGAAGCATATAACCCTATCAGCATCTTCTCCCACCCTCTCCTTTCCAGACCCATTAGGAAAAGAGGAAATCTATTCAGTGGGGATCCTCCCTTGTCCCCCTCATTTAATGTAAGTAAGCTCATGAAAGTGTTTAAGCCAGCCACTTAATGCCTTTATCTTCCTTTGTTTTAGATAGCTGATGTTTAAATTGCCCATTCCTATCTAACCAGTACTGAGGAAACAAGCATGTTCTTGGTCTTGAAGAATCTTCTGTTCCAGATGGAACTTTGAGCATCTGCATCCATAAGCAAAGTCCAGTCCAGAACAAGCTATCAAATTACAGCAATCTATACCAGCTCACAGTGTCAAACATCTTTCTCTTCATTCGGTTGGGTTCTGGTCAGCTTATCCCTAACCATCCAAGCTAGGTCACAATGGTTGCAGCCTCAGGCTCGAGTTCACACACACCTCCTGGCACTTCATACAGCCCCTTCACACACTCTCATCCCCAACCCCCTTGGACTAGGTCAACAGGTTCTACCCATAAACTCAGGAGTCCACACACAACTCCCTGTACTTCTGACCAGCCAGCCCTTCTTCTCACTCTTATCTCTAGCCCCCGGGGGGCTGGGTCAATGAGTGCTGATGGCACTTGTCCAGACTCAGCCGTCTCTTCATTGCTGCACATCCCCTACTTCCAACTCATTGAGTGGACCCAGGTGGTCAACACAAGTGAGCAGACCAAGCTGACTACTCGCCAGCTCCATTTAACTTCCAGTTCTGGAAGGGGGTTCCTTCTGATGGACACTGACTTTTCCTGCCTCCAACAGCAAACAGCTTGCTAGAAATTCAAAAAGCAAAACTGCCACTTTTTTCCTGTAAGTGCTTTCTTCAAATGCAAATCTGTTCTCTGTTAGTTCTGGGTGGTTCTGCATATCTTTTCAAATGTAAAATCTCTGTGGGGCTCAGGTTTTCAACCTAAGCCTCTACTCTATTCAGGGCTACTGGCTTCAAATAAAAAGCCTGTGTTTCTCCCAGGCAAATCCTAGTTCCCATTTTAGTATATCCAATCAAGTAATGGCTGGAGGCAGAGTTATACAGTGTTTATAATCTATAATACCCAATATTCCTTTCTACCATACATTTAGGTCTGCTTTACAACACGAGGTGGGAGAAACATTCAATATCCACAGTACATTCAGCTAAACACATATCCCTTTTTAAACATTCCAGTTTCCTCTTCTTTGGACTATCTTCCCATTCATGTCATATGGCCTTGGGCCTCTGGCTGGGTGGAACTGAGAAGACCCTGGCTCCCTATCTGGTCATCCTGCTTATCTGCCCTGGCTTTTGCCCCAGGTCACTCCAGGTGCAGCTTTTCAGTCATTACAGGTATCAGCAACCAAAGCAACCATCCAAGAATCACAAGTTTCACTTTCTAAGCCCCTTCTTTCTCTTACAAAGTTCCATGCTTTCATGAGTCTGGAGCCATTGCAGAGAATCCTGCTTCAGACGCCAGTTGTAAAAACGGCTTGAGGGCAGTGTGAGACCTCCTCCAACCCCACAAGGGGGAAGGAGAACCAAGATTAACAGCCCAAGGCTGGTTACTATGAGGTGGAGGTCAAATATGCCTCCTCTCTCCACCATCTCTATCAACTGTCCCTCCCACAGCACTTCCTACTGGTTTCAATAATTCATTGCAATGGCCACACAAAACTTAGACCATATTCACAATTATGGGGTTTATTAGGGAAGTAACAGTTATAATTCAGGCTCAAGAACACTCAGGATACATATCCTGATTCTTCCATTAGGATAGCCCCTCCCCAGCTGTGCTCACAGGCATGCCTCTCCCTGGTGTCTCTGCCCAAAGGCACTCAGCTTTCTCTCTCCATGGGCCAGGAAGCCCACCTCACTGTCTCCTGCTGCCCGGTCTCTCCTGCTGGTCTCTCCTTCCTTGTTGGTGGTGGCTTCCTTCTCTCTACTCTGAAATTGGCTCTCTTCTAAGGCAAAACTCACCAATCCCCTTGGTAGGCCACAATTACCCTATCACACAGTCCTGCCCAATCACCTGGGTGGGAGTTACAAGACCATGGCTAGACACGGCCACACACAAAAGTAATTAATCCACCGTGGTCATGCTTTAAGAAAACAATTGACAACAACCAAAATTCCTAGCTTAATAACTCATAGTAAGTTAGGTCTTTTGAGGCAGATGCATTGTGAAATATAAGTAAATGGCAGCAACAACGAAACCCTCAGTGGGCGTCTCTTTTAATAGAGCTCCACTTGGTGCATTTAAAATTGCAGTTGAACTTTGAAACGTCTCTGGAACACAGGTTTTGCATCAACTGGAATAAATTTCTATCAAGACTTAAATATAATGTTTTCTGCACAGGGCTCTTGGAAAACAGGGGAATGAGGAGGTTTTAGGTTGTGACAGGGACTGGGGTGCTCTTAGCATTTAGTGGGAGGGGCCAGGGATGTCAAAATAAAATGTCTTAACATGGGCCAGGCCTGCTCACAATGAGGTGTCCCACCCAAAATGCCAAGAGTCTTGAGAAATACTGCATTAGGGTTATAAAAGTGACTCATATTTGTATCATAATTGCCTATTTTTGAAGCACTTTCAGCTTCTTCTGCAGTTAGTAACCAGAACCAGCTTTTTCCTCTCTGTCCGTTGATTTAAAGTGTCAAGTATGGTTCCCTGTAATTAGGGTTGAGTGTACAAAGGGTTTGCACTCGACTACTGACCTCAAGATTGGCAGTTCAAACACATCCACTGGTGCTGTGGAAGAAAGGCCTGGGGATCCGCTTGCATAAAGATTACAGCCAAGAAAACCTGGTGGAATAGTTCTACTTTGTAACACATGGGGTTGTCATGAGTTGGAATTGACTCAGTGACAGTGGGTTTTTAATAGTATTTAGGGTTGAATGGCTTAAATTCCTCATGTGATGGTAGTGTTCCAGTTTTCCAAGGGTTATAGTCATTCCTGGAAGAGTTGAACCCAAGAACCAATTGCAGAGACTGAGAAATGCTGGGATTCAACAGAATGAAGGAAAAACTAGAGTGTTGCTCTACAACAGCTGTGAACACTGGCTGGCTGCTTTGTCGCTGAGAAAATGCTCTCCCATGTTTTCTTATTGGATTCCAGTGTGGTCAGGAGAAGGGCCTCATGTCTCCCGTCTCCACTGACAGCTCTGTGTGTCCTGGACTCTTTTCCCTGGGCAAGAGGAGGGGTCTCTGCCCAGTTCTTTTGTTCACTGCACACATTTATTTTGCCCTTGTTCTGGATGTCTGGGGTAAGAGTTGAATAATCCTCCATCTATGTTCATCCCTTTATAAGAGTGAAAGGTTTAAAACAACCTTTTGTCGTTGTTGAGTCGATTCCAACTCAAAGTGAGCCCAAGTGACAGAGTACAACTGCCCCATAGGGTTTTCTAGGCTGTAATCTTTACGGGAGCACATTGCCAGGTCTTTCTCCCACAGACCGTTGGGTGGGTTGAACTGCCAACCTTTCGGCCAGCAGCTGAGTGTTTAACCATTATACCACCAGTGTGCCTAAAAACAACCCAAAGGTTTAATAATAGGGGATGGTTGGTTACATTTGGAACATCCGTATGAGGAGATATTATATAGCCATTAAAAATTGCTGACCATTATTGTGTTATTGCAGACAGCATGTTCGATTAGTGTAAAAAATAACGCATTTAAGAGTATGTGATCACATGGGAAACTGCTCACAGTATAAGTGAAAAAACAAAGGATATCAATCAGTGTATGCAAAATGATCCTCATTTTATGTACATAAAAAAGAAAAAGATGAACAGATTTATAAAGAGTGAGAGACATACACTATTTGTAACAGGATGCTAGCATTGTGAGTTATTTTCCTTGTATTTTTCTGCGTTTTCCAGATTTTCTACAGTGATTTTATATTTTTCATAAGCAGAAAAATAATCTTAATAAATGTTACATTAAAAAAAAGGCAAACAAACCCCACGTCCTTTGGGGTAACACACTCAGCTTGTGGAATGAGAACTTATCCTTATTTCTCCTTTCCCATCATAAAATAGTACTCTTGGCCTCAGATTTGTTTTCTGTCTAAAGTGGCTGAATTTCAGGTATAAAACTGGAAACATGTACCTGAGCAGTATTTCCTTAAATCTGGGTTAAAGAAAATTTCTTTACAGCAAGGCTTTTCAGAGCCAATAGGCTAATTGTGACTTTCTAAGAGGGACATACATAGTACATCATGTTTGTTTTCCAAATTTATCCCACCCTGGAATTCTTTTTTCACTAAGCACCTTGGGTATATGCAGATCATACTTGGGGATGTATTGCATGAGGCCTGGGAATGTAGAGGTGGGGTTTTGGTTTCAGGGGGTTGATTTGTGGAGGTACTTCCTGTCACCAGTGAGTAACTGTGCAGTATTCCTTCTAGCAGACAGCCTGAACTACCACCATATGTCACAGTGTTTCCCATTTCTGTTGTCAGACCTTTCCGAAAGGTGAACGAGAAAGGTGTCTTACTCTGGGATAAAATCCACAAGTTACAGAAAGGCCAGATTTACAAGCAGGTATGCGCTTACTAGTTCCTTCCTTTACGTTGCTTTGCTTTGTGGTCAGTGAAAAGGATAACATAGCATCCATTGAGGCTTACTGGGTGCCAGGCACTATTCTGAGTGCTTTGTCTTCTTTATAACTTAGTGTATGTAACTTGGTGGTAAAATTTAGGTTTCAATCACTATATTTTCACAATGATAATATCTAAAGTAACTCAGAACATAACAGTTTTTAAAAAAAATGAAATTTAAGGCATTACTTTCAAAGTATGTAAAATTTAAGATGCCGGTAGTCAACCTTGGAAATTTCTTTTTAAGAAGCCTTTAATCATATGGCATTTTATGCACCCAAAGTAGTAATTATTTCCTGACGAGATACGTTTTATGCCACCTTTTAATATATTTTGGTATCATATAAGGTTGAATTGCTGACCGTTACTGTGTTATGGAGTTAATTTTTTTTTTTTTTTTAACAGATATACTGCTGTTGAGTATATTACATCTTGTGGATTTAGCAGTATATTTTCTAAGATTTAATAAATTAGCTTTGATACAGCAATTCCACTTCTAGGAATTTAACCCGAGAAAATTAAGATGTAGCTAAAACATTGCTACAAGAATGTTTACCATGAAATTATTTACAAAACTGATAACAACATAAATGTCCAACATGAGGGAATTAGTCAAATGAATCATGGTATAGCCTGGGGTGGAGTACTTCTCAGCTACTGAAATTATGTGGCGGATTAATATTTATTGACGTGGAAGTATGGTCACAGCATGTTAAGTGTAAAATGATAGTTACAAAGAAGTGTATGTACAATGTGAATCCTTTTGGAAAAGTGTATTTGACATAGAAGTCTAAAAGATTCCTCGTGAAGGTGTTTTTATCTTTGTGTTTTGATATTTAAATTATAAAATAACTTTTTTTAGTTTTGTAAGATGAATGTTTTGGAACATGGGTTATACAGGTATCTTATCTGTCATATGATATTACGTTTATATTTTTCTCTTAGGGCAATTTGTATGAATTTTTGAAACTTACTGGATGGAGAGGATCAAAAGTACTATATTTTGGCGACCATATATACAGTGACCTGGCGGTGAGGAACTTTTTTTGTTGTTGTTGTATCTTTGTTGATAGAAAGGGATGGTGTATTAGTCCCACTTGTTAAGAAATTACTCTTTTGTTTACAGTTATGTTTATGCTTTCATAAAAACTAGGAGTAGGCCACATTTTTTTCTGTATTATTTTTTACAGAACAGATGGATCAGGGTTATGAATAAAAATAAATTTTTTGGAAATGATGGAAATTAGCAATTTACTCAAAGAGTTTATTAGAGCATCTTTCCATTTAAATAATGGTAAGAAATAACTGCCAGCATTCTTTCTTTTTCCTGTTATGTATGGATCAAAACATGTGAAAAATGTAGCATAAAAGCTTGCAAGCCTTAGCTGGGCTTCTTTTGCCAGCAGTCATGTCTGAAGAGTATAAAACTGGTGTTTCCATCAAACAGCTATTATGTGAAAATGAGGGTTTTCATGCCCCTTGATATGAGTAGTGTCACAGGACTTGAATTATGATTTAACCTATAATTGGAACAGGATTGAGTTATTTATAATTATTACCATACTTGGTTCCTTGTAGAATGAATTTGTATTTGTTAAGTGATCCAAGGTAGGTTCCACAGTGCACAGTCATTAGAGCCTGAAGCTCAGTATAGAGGGACGGTAAGGAGAGGGGGTCACTCTTTTGCCATTGATATTTCTAGTATTTTGGCCTACCTTGTGTTGGCCTTACATCTTACAAATATATATATACACATACACACTCACACGTACATATATGTATATACACGTACATCTATGTATATGTACATATATGTATATATACACATGTATACATACATATATACATACATGTATATATACACACATATATGTATATCTATCAGTCTGCCTCCCATCAAAGCAGTGGGTTTTGACTTGGGCTGTGCATTAGGACCTTCTGGAGAGTGTCTTCAGACTACCCATGATTGAACCCCACCGAGGTCTGTGGCATCAGAATTTCTGGTGGAGGTGGTGGGGGGGCTGGAGGGGGCAGAACCCCAGCTCCTGTGTCTAGTGAGCACTCTTCCCAGGTACCTCTAGTGCACACCCTGTGTAAACACACCCGTCTCCTGGGTTGAGCCCTAGTGGAAGGAATTACAGACTCTGAATGAGAAGACTCAGGTATTCATCCCAGCTCTGCTGTTTATTAGCTATGTGACCTTGGGCCTATCCCTCAAGCCCAATGTCCTCATTGTAAGGAGAGTGCAGTAAGATAATGTATAAAAGTGCTTAGAAAAGTACACATATGAAGTGCCACTATCAGGGTGTTGGTGCTCCCAGGAAGTCCAGGCGAGTGACCTGGCATCATGGGCATTTGTTCCTTGCTCTCTGGGACCTGCAGGCCCTGATCAGGTAACTGTTTGTTATCCTAAGGCATGTGGGTCTGTGGCACTGTGAGGTGACACACAAGGACTTAGCATTAGGAGAGGACTTACAAAGCAGGGGTTCTTCGAGTACGGTCCCTGCATCAGCAGCAGCAGCTCCTGGGAACTTGTTAGAAATGTACATTCTCGGGCCCCACCCTACACCTGCTGACTCAGAAACTCTGGGGTGCTTTAGCTAGCCCTCTAGCATAAACTTTGAAAGCCAGTGTTATAAAGCTATGAGACTCGTTCTTTTTTTTTTTTAATTTTATTTTGTTGTTGTTGTTGAGAATATACACAGAAAACATACACCAATTCACCAGTTCCTCCATGTACAATTGAGTGATATTGACCGCATTCTTCAAGTTGTGCAACCATTCTCGCCCTCCTTTTCTGAGTTGTTCCTCCCCCGTTAACATAAACTCACTGCTCCCTAAACTATCTATCTAATCTTTTGAGTTGCTGTTGTTAATTTGATCTCATATAGCTAGTTCTTTAAAAGGGCATAATGCTCAAGGCAGATAGATATTTCTTACTAGTTAAGCTAAAATATAGCTTTTTTTTTTTTAAATTGTACTTTAGGTGAAGGTTTACAGAACAAATAGTTTCTCATTAAACAGTCAGTGCACATATTGTTTTATGACATTGGTTAACAGCCCCACAACATGTCAACACTCTCCCTTCTCGACCTTGGAGGACCCTGTCTTTTTTTTTTTTTTTGGTGAAAATATACATAGCCAAAGATACACCATTTCAAAAATTTCTACGTGTACAGTTCAGTGACATTGATTATGTTCTTCCAGTTGTGCTGCTGTTCTCACTTTAGATAAAGGTTTACAGAACAAAATAGTTTCTCATTAAACAGTACACATATTGCCCTATGACAATGGTTAACAACCCCACTACATGTCAACTTGGGTTCCATATCACCAGCTTTCCTGTCCCCTTCTGCCTTCTAGTCCTTGTCCTTGGACTGCTGTGCCTCATTAGTCCTGTTTTGTTTTATGGGGCTGTCCAATCTCCGGCTGAATGGTGAACCTTGGGAGTGACTTCACCACTGAGCTGAAAGGGTGTCTGGGGGCTATACTCTCAGGGTTTCTCCAGTCTCTGTCAGGTCAGTAAATTTGGTCTTTTTTAGTGTGTTAGAATTTTGTTCTACATCCTTCTCCAGCTCTGTCTAGAACCCTCTGTTGTGATTCTGGTCAGAGCAGTCAGTGGTGGTAGCCGGGCACCATCTAGCTGTACTGGACTCAGTCTGGTGGAGGGCTTGGTAGCTGTGGTCCATTAGTCCTTTGGACTAATCTTTTCCTTGTATCCTGTTCTCTTCATTCTCCCTTGCTCCCGAAGGGGTGAGACCAGTGGAGTATCTTAGATGGCTGCTCACAGGCTTTTAAGACCTCACACGCTACTCACCCAGGTAGAAGGTAGAACATTGTCTTTATAAACTGTGTTATGCCAATTGAGCTAGATGTTCCCCGAGACCATGGTCCCCACAGCCCTCCACCCAGCAATTCAGTCCCTCAGGGAGTTTGAAAGTGTCTGTGGAGCTTCCATGACCTTTCCTTGTAAAGTTATGCTGGCTTGCCCAGTAATGTGTACTGTCTTACACTTCACCAGAGTTACCACTTATCTATTTAGTCCCCCACCCCCATCCCTCCCATCCCTCGTAACCAGCAAAGATTGTTTCTTTTTGTGTGTAAACTTTTACATGAGTTATACAGTAGAGGTCTCATACAATATTTGTCCTTTTGTGATTGACTTATTTCACTCAGCATAATGTCCTCCAGTTTGATCCATGTTATGAGATGCTTCACAGATTCATCATTGTTCTTTATCTTTGTATAATACTCCCTTGTGTGTATGTACCATAGTTTGTTTATCCATTCATCTGTTGATTGGCATCTAGGTTGTTTCCATCTTTTTGCTATTGTGAACAGTGCTGCAATGACTATGGGTGTGCATATGTCTACTAGTGTGTCGGCTCTTATTTCTCTAGGATATATTCTGAGGAGTGGGATTACATCTTGTAGTGCTTTTTTTTTGTGGTGCTGACGTTTTCTTTGTTCCTCTTACTCTCCTGTGCTGAGTTCCTTTTGTTTGTGGATTTTTTTTTCATTTCTTTTGTTTTTGTAGGGTTTGTTTTTACTGAAACTCTGTTTTTCTTCTTTATTTTGATGAATAGGTTTGTTATCTTTCCTTGTGGTTACCTTGAAATTTACCCTTATCTTCCTAGATTTGTACCAGTCTATTATTACTTGGTATCAGTTCACTTCTTCTCCATTATTACTTGGTATCACTTGACTTCTTCTATACCCACACCATTTATTCCCCCTTTTATTGTTCTGATGCTGTTGTCGTTTACAGATTAACCTTTTTGGTTCCTTGTTGTAGTTCTTTTGGTTTTCATAGTCCTTGAGAGGTCGTTTCCTAGGTTGGTATCTGGCTAGTACAATCCTGTGTCCTACTTTCAGCCTGTGGTCTGATATTGTTTGTTCTCAGATCGAAGGACTTCCTTTAATAAATCTTGTAAGTTTGGTTTGGTTTTTACATAATCCCTTAATTTCTGTTTATCTAGAAATGACCTAATTTCACCATCATATTTGAACGAGAGTTCTGCAGGATATATTATTCTTGGCTGGCAATTTTTTTCTTTCAAGGTTTTATATATGTCATCCCATTGCCTTCTTGCTGCAT